TGTGGGGCCAGAGCTGGTCGTATCTCGAAAATTTTGTAAGTAGGGGTGTTCGTAAGTAGAGGTACCACTGTATTTGAGTTTTGGTGATACACACTTGGTCACATGAGAGGAAGAAAGTTGAGTAATATTTAAGAGAAATAAAATCAGGGTGATATTTATTGTTTCAGAGGAATGCTAAACTTGAATGTTTGCATTTCCTGCTTGTTCACAGTGACTTAGAAATTCAACAAGACTCTGGCTGTCTTATTTTTTTCTGATTACTAATGTGGTATAAGCCATCATCGGGAGCTAGTTTGGTGTAGCGGTTAAGGCATTGGGCTAGAAACTGGGAAACCATGAGTTCTAGTCCCACCTCAGGCACAAAGCCAGCTGGGTGACCTTGGGCCAGTCACTCTCTCTCAGCCCTAGGAAGGAGGCAATGGCAAACCACTTTTGAAATCTTGCCAAGAAAACTGCAGGGACTTGTCATCTAGAAAATGGGACATTACAGTTGTTATTTATCCAGTTTGCCTCCACTTTTTCGTCCATGTAGATCAAAGCCGATATAAACGATAGTGGGAAAGTAGCAGCTTCACAAGGTGCAGAATGTTGCAAAAATAAATGAGGAAAGCGAAACAGTATATCGTTTTACCACCTGAATAACTGGAAGAAAATAATGAATATAGGAAATGAAAAAGAATAAGAATAAGGGAAAGGCGGGAAACTTCCTAATGTTGGTCATGCCTGCTCAGCTTCCAGCAAAAATGCAAGCTGGATCTTCACTTGACCACAGGAAGGTTAGGCCATTGAACTGAAAGTCAGTAGTATTCAACATTTGTTCTGCTATCGCATTGCCTACCTGTTTGTTCTCTCTTACACTTTTTGGGTTTCCTGTGTATTCTGCCAGGAAAAAATGCTTGATGTGAGTCTTTGGGCCAAGCTCCTATTCATTTTCTGTGGATTTTTCTCAGCTGGTTTGTCAGGTTACTATATGCAGATACACTTTCTCTCCTCATCCTCATCTTGTCTTTCATTTAAGAAGCAACACTGTTTTCCTTTTCTTATTTTTGCTATAAAATAGTCTGCTAGGCCAGTTTTAGGTTACTCCAAGATCTCTAGAAACTAACAAATGCTGTATATTAGGGAATAGTTTTGTTAAGCAAATTGAAAGCTTAATGTCATAATTTGTTTGAATTTAAGATGACTCTGATTTTGCTGCAGCAAACTAATACTTACATGTAAAATGACTGTAGACAATCCAGCACTATTTGTATTTTCTCACTGCTTGTATAACTAGTTTGGGGGTTATGCTATTTTTCTGCACAAGTCTTTCAAACCTGCTGAACTGCTTCCCATAATATTTTTTCCCTAATTTTCTTTCAGTATGTTCAAGATCTTGGTGAATGATCCAAGAGTCTTGAGGTACAGAAAGGGGAAAGTTCTCCCCCCGAGTCCTTGGCTAACTCTTTCTATTGCTGTCTTGATCTGCACATTATTTTCCACTTCTGATTTGGTAAAACTTTCTTTTTAGATGTATACATCAGTTCCTCAAACTGTTTTTACTGAAGGGTGGATAGATGTGGCTGCTTGATTCAGCAAGCTGGCTGCATCATTTTTACCACAGAACAAAATTAAGTGATTCTGCAAAAGAAAGTTGTTTGATAGTAAAGATGTAGAATCGAAACAAAATGTTTAGAATAAGTTTGATATAATTTAACATATAAGAAACTTTCCCCAGTTAATGTGTGAAACTTGAAGGTACAGGTAGTCTTTGTTTAGTGACCAAGCTGGGACCGACAACTTGGTTGTTAAGTGAAGCGATTGGTAAGTGAAACCATGACTACGCTTATGATCTTACTTCAGCTTTCCTTTGCAAAGGTCATAAATGCAAGGATTGGTTGTAAAGTTACTTTTTCATCACTGTCATAACTGTAAATGGTCACTAAATGAGGACTACCTGTATTTGGTAGAATATGAGAGTGAGGTTTAGGATTCCAGAAATACTTCTGTATATATCAGTTTTTGAGCTTTTACTGGTATTTATTAAAACATCTTGTTTCTTGTATTTTAGATTTAATTCAGTGCACGAATGAGATGAATGTGAATATTCCACAGTTAGCAGATACACTTTTTGAGAGGACGGCGAACAGTAGCTGGGTAGTAGTGTTCAAAGCTCTAATTACAACGCACCACCTCATGATGTATGGAAATGAGGTAAGAAAGCAGTGTTTTGCAATACAATATTACATTTCAATATGGGAAGGGCTTCAAAGTAAGCGCCTGGTGAGCTTCCAAAGGACAGTATAGCAGAGACATCAAGAACATCAGGAGGAATTGCATATCTAGCTCCTTACTAGAAAAGAAATAGTGGCATATACAGTTACTTTTATTAGTTACTTCTTCCCCTTCCCTCCCCCCAGAATCTCAAATTACCAAGTTAGCAAATGTTAAATGAATTACCTACACAAGTGCTGGTATAATTTCTAATTCCTACATTATTGTGAGATTCTGGCCTGGCAGGCTTTATTTCTGCCCTTAAAGGTTCAGGAGTTTTATTGCCTACTTGCCATTGTAACAACATTGTGCCTGTTAGCATTTGACTGCATTAGACTTCTATGGGAGTCTGAATGAGAATGAGTTGAATACACATCCCAAGCTCACTTTGTGGTGAAATTAAACAATGCATTCTCCATTGTTGTCTAGTTACCAGCCCTCCATCCCCAAGTTGTGTATGAGCTATTTTTAGAGGGTATATTTAGGGCTTGTCATAATGTGTACCTGTCCAGCCCCTCTCTTAACCAACACATGTGAAAAGATCTCCCTTTGATTTGAAAAACCAGAGTGGAATTTGCTTTACAGCAGATTAATTTTTACAGGATCTAGGAGATCCTGCCTTCAGATAAAGGCAGACTTTCCTGTGTGCTTTGTAGTGGTAAGTCCTTCAAGAGGCTAATAGAAGGTAGAGGCATGGAAACACTCAAAAAAACATCCCATATCTTACAGTTGGAAGAATCCCAGAGGACAGTGAGATAATAACTTGTTAGTTGTGTCACCTTGCAGCAAGTATGAGCATTAGGAGTAGAATATCTTTGCCTTGGATTTATACTAGCTCTATTTTCCTATTATGCATAGATGTAGACCTTGCTTACATGTCATGAGAATCATCTCAGAATGGTATATGCAGTTTCTTTATAACCGTGATATGGTGGGATGCACGCAAAATGAGTAGTGTACAAAGGTATAATATTTAATGAATTTTCCTTCCATTTCCCTGTTCCATAGGACTACTTGTAAACCAGGGTTGCTATGGAATGCATTGCGTATCCGTTTCTCTTATATAATTCAGCTGTAGTTTTGGCTCTCTGGACAGAGGCTGCAAAATTATAACTATTAGCAGATGTAATTGGCTTGTCTTAGTAGAAGAAGAAATCATTTGTTGTTTAGGTGATCAAAAAACTATTTCTTGCTTATCACCTACGCACTTTTTAGAAATTAGAAATATAAAATCTTTCTGTAGAAAGATGATCTGTAGAAAGATAGTAATAAAGATAATCTGAATTCTGATTCATTTGTTCACAGCGCTTTATTCAATACTTGGCATCTCGAAATACATTATTTAATCTCAACAACTATCTGGATAAAAGTGCCATGCAGGGTAAGGATTCTTTTTCTTTTAAAAATGAATTAGAATTTATATTCTGTATTAAAATTGAATTAATTTAATTAGTCCGTTAAGTTTCTCTATCTTGGTGAGATTTTTGCTTAAATGTTAAACATGTTTTAAATATGTATTTTTTAAAAAAATCTCTTGAAAAAAATAAATTTGAAAGAGGCTTTCCTGTAGATCTGAACAACAGATTCATAAACCAGATAGATAGATAATGAAACTGGTGATTCTTCAGATAATTGGGGCTTTAAAGGTGAGCATCAACATTTGAATTGTCAATTCCTCTAACTTGAGAGAAAGGTTTTTTTAGGGCCAGGCACAACATCCTTCCATCAGTGCTATTATCTGGCAGGTATGCCAATATTCCCCTATATTAGCACACTTGCTTTGTGACTCTAGGGAAATTAAGACAATTCAACATATCCTTTTTTACTGTAGCTTTTATAAGGATCTTCAAAAGGGCATTAAAACCCTCCTTTTACTACATAAACGCACCTGGGAAAATAGACAATTTTTACACTCACTTTTTATTTTCAGTCTCCATCTGTGAAGCCACCTACACACTAGCCAAATTTATTGTTGTAGCAGTTAAAATGAGGCAACAATTAACATGAAACATAAACTTTCTTTTTAACTGATTTTATTTGGTTGTAGAGTCGTGTG